CCCAGTCACCCAGTCACCCAGTCACCCAGTCACCCAGTCACCCAGTCTTTACATGTGCACCATTAAGGGACTCTGACCAGCCAGCTCAGTCCCTAGAGTGAGGAGAATCCCTGGGACTCCTGTTTATATCTGTCAGCCAGGGCTGTCTGATTGGCCCAGGTTAACAGCCCAATCAGGGATCTCATACTCAATCAGATTCACCTGGCCAACCTCATTGCAATCACTATAGAAGTCCAGCTCTTTTACTTCTTCCTTAACTTCTGAAATGTGACGGAAATCAACTCAATCCTTCCTATTCTTTCCTATGTGTATTATGACTCTCCCACCAACCTCCCCCTCCAAACACTTTGCACCCTCTTTGTGGAGACACCAAAGGTGCAACACATGAGGCAAGATTCACATTAACCATTAGAAAAGCACATATCTACCAACAAGATGCTTGAATCACCTGTAAACATTAAATTACTACACTGGACTATGACCATTACTGTAGGGAATTATGTTTATAGATGCGGATACTGTCATCACTATTATTCACTGTGTCTGTACATGATAACATTGTTTAATGATGTCCTGAGGGGGATTTCCTGTATTTGTACATTAGATAATAATGGCCTTGATTTTATGGTCAGTGGTGAAGGGACAGGGTCATTATTTACGTTTAACATTGCCCATTGCTTCCTTGGAATTTTAAGCTGCAACTCTTGGTGTTTAGAGACCCTTTCTTGCTGGTGATTTGCTGTCAAAAGAGGATCAGAGTTGTGTGGGAGCAAGGCAGAGGGTAGTGTGGCCCCTCAAACAATCAGATCGAAGAACGCTTCCTGGGACAAATAAAGGCCTGAAATTTTGTAGCACCAGGGATAGTGTCCAACAGCAAGGTCCAGAGATCCCAGCCCCTGACAGTTTCACCAGAATGGAAGAGGGTTATTACCAGTGCGTCTTCATGGAGGCATGTATTAAAATGCAGCTACCCTCAGTCAGATCCAACGTTCATATCCAAGACATGACTTAAGACCCTAGCTGTTTTATTTGGAGAGATAGGGTACCCTTTTGGATAGGCTCAGAGACACCTTATTGGGCTGAATATTTCCCTCCTCTATTGTAATGATTCTCTAGAAGGCCAGATTTTGGCCACCTTTCTGAGGCAGCCTGGTTCGAAGGCTAGTTCTGAGGTATTTCTACTCAGTTGTTATGTTGTGGAGGTGCCAGTGTCGGACTGGGATGGACAAGTCCTACAGACTCCGAAGGCTTGTGTTTTCAAATAACCCTGTTGGACTATAACCTGGTATCGTGTGATTTCTGACCTTCTCAGTTGTTTTAATAACTGTTAGGCCCTCATCACTCCTCAACACTCCCTCCATCTCCTATGGTCCTTCATACACTCCATGGTTTTGCCATAGCCACTTACCCAGTAGCCACCATGTACAGACCCCCACCGCTCCCCCCCAAACCCCTCCCCCACACCCCGGAATAATTTGGAGATGGAAAATAAACTTCTAACAATCTAATATTGCTCTCTTTTGTGCATACTTGATAATGAAAAAGAAACTCCCATTCACAAAATCTATTCAAAGCCTTCCAATGTCCTCAAGAGGTTAATTTCCTACAAAAACAAGCTTCTTTCAGACCCCACATCAAAGACTGCTAATCTTTTAATAGCTTCTTGAAGCCGTATCAAGCTGTGAACTTAGATCCTTCGCTGAGATAATTGTATCTTTTGAAACTTAGCCGAGCATTCGTAATGACATGATGATAGTCTTGGGGAAATGCAAACAGCAAATTCATTTGACACTAAACAACTAGATACCAGTGTTTTTTTTCTCTAACCTACACCTGCCAATCAAAGCAATCCAGCAGAGAGTCTTTCTTCTTAAGTTTAAAGAACGGGGCATTTAAAAAAAATTCCAGATCTTGGCAGTTGCATAGAACATATTCATCCTTCAAGACCATTTGGTCGTGCAATGGCAGAGGAGTAGCAGCACTGTAATCGAGCTCCTGGTCCAGGGCTCATCTGCCTCCATCTGCTTCTTTGCTTCTTTTTTTTTTGTTTTCTTTTCCTTTTCTCTTTTAAGGCCTTTTTAGGGTGTTCGGCATGGCAGAAGAGGGCTTGGCAGCGCGCGGAGCATGCAGCAGCAGGAGCACCAGGGCCTGCAGCGCGGAGGAGAAAGTGGGCCGAGCTAATCAAGATTGCGGCTCTAGCATGGTATGCCCGTCCGCTCAAGGCTGGCCGCACCCTTCTTTTTTTCTCTCCTTTCCGTCTTTCTTTCTTTTCTTCTCCTTTTCTTCATGTTCTTGATGTCGTGGGGAGGCTGGAACGGCATCAGTGATGAGCAGAGCAGGAACTCCTGGCATTGTAGGCCTGATGCATGGACTCCTGGAATTGGCGGCGAGGCATTGGCCGCAGTGATGAAGGAGCAAGGACTCCTGGCGGCAGTAGGCCCAGAGCATGGACCTTGTGAAAGTCCTGGAGCCATATTTGGGACCCTGGCCGATGAAGATGAACTCAATTTAAATATTTTCTTTTCACACTTTTATACCTCAAAATGGTGCCATATTGTAGCGACAGAACACTGTATCTGCCAAGATATATGTGACAAGAAAACATTCATTCGTTCATTTACACTTGCTCCATCAATTCATGATCCTAACACTGTGGGTTTAAGGCCAAAACTGGGTCAGTTTGTCAACTTTCCCCTATTGGCCAAAACTAGATATATCTGAAATGGGGTCAAGATACCCACATCTAAGCTCCAAACACCCCAGTTTTTAAAACCCTACTTAGACTTCCCAGTGCTATGAAAATCCAACCTTTAATTCTTTAACTTCTTCGGAAAAGGTATATCCATCAATGATTAATCTCTGATGTAATTGCAAAAATAAGTACCTGGGGGGTTTACTCAAACAGTGGCTCAGTGGTTAGCACTGCTGCCTCACAGCACCAGGGACCTGGGTTCAAATCCACCCTCAGGTGACTATGTGGCATTTGCACATTCTCCCCACGTCTGTCTGGGTTTCCTCCGGGTGCTCCAGTTTCCCCCCACAGTCCAAAGATGCGCAGGTTAGGTGGATTGGCCATGGGAAATTGCCCATATCGTTCAGGGATGTGTAGATTACATGGGTTATAGGGGGACGGGTCTGGGTGGGATGCTCTGAGGGGCAATGTGGACTTGTTGGGCCGAAGGGCCTGTTTCCACACTGTAAGGATTATTTGACTGTTATTAATATCATTTAAAATGGTTTTTAAAATATTTACACCTGACTACACCAGTGTGTTTAGGAAGTAACTAATGACTAAGAGCAGGAATTTCTTGCCCTTCATATATTTGAATGCCAAGTCTCTCAGCCAGGTTCCAGTGTAGAGAAAGCCTTAAGACCAAGTGGAGAAATCAAACATCCACTTTCAGATTCTCAGATCTAATTCTGTACGTGCACATTCCAGAAGTCACTGTCCAATTTACTCCATACTAATTGTGAATACTGGTAGTCTCACAATTATTTCTACCACAACATCCAGGCCACTGTATAATGATGTTAACATAGTGAGTCATTGGGCCAGTGTGTGGGATAATATTGTGCGACATGGAATGCACATGTATGGGAACATTGTTTATTGGTGTTATAGTAAGCAGTGGCTGAACATATGAGACTATTATAACACTATGTTAGTACACAATAGCATTGTAGCATGATGTTCCAACAGGGTCCGACAGACCCAATCTAATATAAAATTTCAGCATGGTCTTATCATAGGGAATTATTATATGTGTGTTCATTCAACACTGTTGTATCATGATGTTACTTTAGGAAATAAATATTAGCCAGGTCACTTAAGGAGATCTCCCCTGCTCTTATTCAAAATGATTTTATTTATGTATCCACTCCAGAGGACAAATTGATCCTTGTTTTAATGCCTGATCCAAAGGACTGTGCCTCTGACAGGGCAGTATGCCATCTCAGAGTGTCAGCATTTGTCCTGACAACAGTGAAGTTGGACATGAACCTAAAACCTTCTTGACCCAGAGATAAAATTGCTATCAGCTCACCCACAGCTGACACGACATTCTGTTTCTCTGTTTATATTTCCGAGTAATGCACGTACAAATTTTGGCCATCTTTATCAACTTGCCCTGCCACCCTTCAGTATTTCTGTGGCTATGGATAGAACAGCCAAAATCAGATACAGTCTTTGCATATAACAGGCCTGGCAAAGTCCATCAGCTCACATTTTCTAAGTTCCTTGATCTTGTTATCTTTATGTTATTTACTGTAGGCAATTGTATACCTGACTATGCTATATCATTACATATAACATTGTAGCATCATGTTACTGTAGGGAGGCACTCTCTGTGTACAATAATCTATCATAACGTTACTACAGGGAGTTGCTAATTATATGCAATAGCACTATATCATTCTGTTCCGAAAGGGCATCAGCTTCTGTATATAACATATTACACCATTTAGTTACTATAGGAAGTCAACATCTGTATTTAATAACCTGATGTTGTGATGTACCTATACAAGAGTTGCTGTCTGTATATAACATTATATCATGGAGTTACTATAGGGAGTTATCTGTATATAATAACATTATAAAATGGTGTCACTATTGAACTGCTGTTGGTCTGTAACATATCAGCGCATCACTATAATATTTCATTGTCTACATTTATGGATAATAGTATAGCTCGATGGTAGTACAGAAAATCAGTGTGTCTGTTCTTGACAAAGGTGTGTCATGCTGTCAGCACAGGCAATGAACCCCTTCATCCTGTTATTTCAACCTGTTTGTGTCATATGGTAAGTAGTTTGAGACTGGCAATGGAGAAACTTTAGATGAATATCTGTGTTGCTCAGATTTCATTTCAGAAGTACCTTTGCTTGATGTCCTGTTGGAAACCCTCTACAAAGTATCTAGAGCCAATGATAGTTCTCAGTTCAGAAATACAGCTGTTCCAAGATGGTAGTTCAGTGTACCAACTCTTCATTGAAAATTATTTAGTGACCTTGGTGTGATAGATAGGATCTAAACTTGGCCAAATAATTTACTGCCTCACTTTAAATATCTGTGAACACCTATTGATAGAGCAGAGATTCCCCTGTCTAAAGGAAACTTCTTTTTGATTTTCTAATCAACCTGTTTGGAGCTGTTATTATACACCTCTGGAGCAGGTTGGACTTAAACCCCAGTCTCCTGGCCCAGAGATTGGAACACTATCACTGTGCCAGAACAGCACCTCATCCAAAGGAACCAAATGCCTTCTTTTAATTAACCTGCTGAGGCAGATTATAACACATTTCTGAGGTAGGTAGGACTTGAACCCCTGTATTCTGGACCACAGATAGGGCACACTACCCCTACACCACAAGAACCCCTCTTCTAAAGGACCTCAGCAGTGCTACTTATAAAGATACATGCATTGGCCCTTCATTGGTAGGCATTGAATAAAGAAACACCAAAATGGATAAACTATTGATTTTCCAAAAGTCTGTAATTTCTGGAAAGGTTCCATGAGGGAGGAAATTAGCAAGATTACTTCTCTGTTCAAGAAGGGACAGATACGGAAAAAAATAAACTAGCTAGCTTCTTAGGGATCTTGGGGGATATCTTCCAATCAATCATTAAGCAGGTCATTTTGAGGGCACTTAAAAGACCCAAGCTCATCAGGTAGAGTCAACATGGTTTTGTGAAAGGGAAATCAATGTTTTAGTATTCTAGAGTAACATACGCTGTAAATAAATGGGACCTTGTACGTGTACTATACTTGGTTTTTGAAAAGGCATTTGATAAAGTGTCACTTAAAATGTTGTTATGCAAATTGGGAGCTCACGGTGAGGCAGATAACATATTAGCATGGATAGAAGATTGGCTGACTGGCAGAAAACAGAGAGTACACGTAAATGGGACAATGTCTGAATGTGCAGGGGCATATGCAAGAGCCTCAACTTGTTCTAATTGATTGTACAGGAGAAGCAAAGGCATAGGGGCTAAATTTGCAGGTCACACAGGAATGGGTATGAAAGTATGAAGAGGACAGAAGGAGGTTGCAGGCGGATATAGATTGAGTGTGTGGAGAGAAAAGTCTGCCAGATGGTGTATACGGTAGGGAAATGCCAAGTTGTTCACTTTGGCAAGAAGAATATCAAAAAAAAAGTTTTACTTAAACAGACAGAAACTGCATAGAACACAGAGATCTAAGTGTTCGGGTACGTGAAGTTGTTGGTATGGAGGTACAGCAAGTATTTAAAAAAAGCTAAAGAAATGCTATCCTTATAGAGGAACTGAACATAAAATAAGGATGTTATTCTTCAGTTGTTGACATAAATGCACAGAGGCCGGTATCCTGTCACCAAGTCACCCTTTATTTACTCATGCACAGCACACTGGCTGTGGCCAAGCAGCTCAGAGTCAGTTGCCTGAACTCAGGGGATTCTCATCTCCTGGTTATATTAGTCAGCCGGGGCTTTCCTGATTGGCCCAGCTTAACAACCCCAATCAATGACCTTGTAGTCAACAAGGTCCACGTGGTTCCAATCACTACAGTTATACAGGGCATTGGTGAGACCACATCTCGAACACTGTGTGTAGTTTTGGTCTCTTTAAGATGTAAATGTGTTTGGAGGTGATTTAAAGGAGGTTTACTAGATTGGTACCTGAAATCAGTAGACAGATTGAATAGGTTGGGCTTGTTTGCACTGGAGTTTATTAAAATAAGGATGCCTTGACTGAAGAATGTAAGATCCTGAATGGTCTTGACAAGGTGAATGTAATTGTTGATGAGACCAGAATTATGAGCAACTATTTAAAGAATTAGGGGTGACCCTTTTACAACAGACAAGAGAATATTTTTTTCTCAGAGAGTTGTGAGACTTTGGAACTACCTGCCCTGCAGGGTGATAGATTAAACTTCTTTAAGACAGAGGTAAGTAGGTAGGAATATGGAATTCAAATACAATCAGGTCAGCAATGATCCTACTGAATGGCAGAGCAAGCTCAAGGGGCAAAATGGCCTACTCCTTTTTTTAATGTCATGTCTATTTTTAGGGAGAGGGAACGATGTGTATATAAGGCCTTTGGAGGAAACAGGGCAATGCATAGTGCTGGAAGAGTTCACCCCAGTAGGGTGAGTTGGGGTTTTGAAGGGAACGTTAAATGATAGTTGGTCTTTGGAACACAACAAGCTCATGGAGATCCTTGAGGACAGGGAGATGGGTAATTGGTGGATCTTATTCTGAACTAGAAGTCTTTGTAATTTTTCAGTTGAAGGAAGCCCTGACTAGTATTTTGACAGCAGTGCATTAGAATCAGTAATGTCCAAAATATGGCCTTTTCTTCAAATACCAAAGCTTACAGAAGAAATATTTATTGAAATTCTGACTTTTCTGACCAATAATGAGATGAAAACCAATCTCTTGTGACACTGTGTATCTTGGGGACCAGTGTGCATGAAGCAGGTTTTGAGGGTGGTGGAATAAATGGATTAAATTGTGAAGATGTAATTCAATCCCTGTTTTAAATGGTATGCTCGGTGTCCTTGTTTCCATCTGATACTTTGATTTGGTGTTATGATTTACCATTAAGTGGCAAAAGTCGTGGCAATTTAGGAAGCATAGAAGATGTGAACAACAGAGGTACTATAGCACTAACACTATCTGTACAGTGTAATTGCACCATGACATGTTTACATAGGCAATTTTCTTGACAAATACAAATTAGAAATTGGGACCAAAGTATGATTTTGAAAAAATGAAATGACCACTTAAGGTGAAATTGTGCAGACGGCAAATTGCACAGGTACAAAGGTTTTATTTCATTACAGGTAATAAAAAGTCTCCTAATGTTCCACAGGGAACTTTCTGAGTATTGAGTGGGTTAAAAATATGCAGGCGAGCTTTCAAATTTAGAAAGGATGTAAAAATATATTGGAACCGCACTCAAAATGAAAGCTCAGCCCGGTGTGTCCAATAGTGCAGATGTGGGGGGGTCAGAGAGCACTGTGTTCTGTACTGATTCCGATTTCATTTCCTCTCACAGTCCAAGGCTCTGCGGGAACGATGGCTGCTGGAGGGAACTCCATCATCGGCAGCAGAGGAGGATGAGGGAATGAAGAAACAGCTCCAGGAGGACAATGACAAAACTAAACAGATGGAGGAGACCATCCTGAGGTAACTGGCAGGCCGCCTGATCATCAGCTGTAATGTACAAGAGATAAAACCAAAAACACCAAGTTACCGCTATCCTATAATCAGTACCAAGTGGAATGTGTTATCTCAAACATGGTCTTATGTTCCCTCACGGACAGTGGGCAGTGGCATAATGTATCCAGGTTGATCCAGGCCTTACATCAGGCACTCGTTGTCCATTGCAACAAAGATGATTCTAATTCTTGGCTTTCTAACACTTTAATGACAAGTGTCCATTGGAGCAAAGTTTGATGAGAAAACATTAGAATTAGAATTAGGTTTATTGTCACGTGTATTAAGTTACAAAAGAACAGGAATTCAGTGAAAAGTGTACAATGTCCCCAACACACGGCACCATCTTAGGTACAAAGTACCTAGGTACAAATCTTAAGTACAAAAAATATAGAAAATAAAGAAATAATTTTACACTACACTGTAGATATATATATAGGTTAGGTAAATGAGAAATAAAGACAACATGATAGGCATGTGAACCTTTGATGGTAAATGTAGTCAGAATAAGATTCTTTAATTCTGTCAACAAGATGATAGACATGTTTCCATATCAGGAGCGAATGTTTTAAAAATCTTGTATCATTAATCACAACAGACATTGTCTCCCAGTATCCTTTTAGTTGTCCTGGGTTTTGATCTCTCCCAAGACATTACATGGCAATGGAGTGTAGGAAACCATCTGAAGGATAAAGCACACCCAATCGTCTGTAATTGCTCTTAAAACAACTGGCCAGTTGGTCTGTTTCAAAGGTAGCCATATTACTATGGGTCTGGCTTATTGTTAATCACAGTGGATGTGGTTGGCAGATCTTTCTTTCCCCATCTCATGCTGTCTAGGCCAACATTTATTGGCTAGATAACAGTTAAGAGCCAACCACATTGCTGGGAGAACATGTAGGTCTGCCCAAGTAAGGATTACAGGTTGACATTCATCTAGCTTTTTAATACTAAAATCAGATTTTGTCATCTGCCATGGTGGGATTTGAACTGCTGTCCCCAGGCATTAGCCTGAGGTTCTGGATTACTTACCTAGTGACATTACCACTGTGCCACCATCGCCTCAGTGATGATTTACCCTCTCTAAGAGACAGAAAAATGCAAGTTGGACTAAATTGCGCACACACCCTCGGAACCATGACAAGCAAGGTGTCACTGAACGACAGGGAGCCCTGCATGAGCTATGACCTCCTGCTGATCTGATCAGATGTTTTAACTCATTATGTAGCCATGTTCCATCAACAACCTGTCGACTCATCTCAAGTCTCTTGGAGTTGTAACACAATTCAAATACTTCGGGAACGCTCAGACATAACACAAAACCAATGATTTACAGAGATCCTATCACATGCCGAGATTTCTAAATGTTAAAGAATGTTGATCAAATCTTGTTATAGCTGGGAAAGGAAAGGACAGAGCAGGACTCTTGCCTTGTGGCAAGTCTAAGTGAGGTTCATGCATGTATTTTAAACATTGAATCGCTTTTTTCAAAATTGACCCTGCAAACAAACAGGAGTCGATGATAAGGAAACAAAAGGCCTACCTGTAAAAAGAGGCCTACCTGTAAATCTAGTTTAAAAATAGAAAATATGGGAAGTACGCAGAAGGTCTGTCATCCTCAAAGCCTTCAGCTACCTAGGCGTCAGACTCTCCCTATAGCCCAGAAGGGAAAACTAGCAAATGAGACAATCTGGTCCAATTTGTCTTGAATATTTCATAATGGACATGCCAGTATGACTGCTACATTCATTTCCAAGTATCCCTGTTTTTCCACTAGTTGGTCGCTCTGGGAGCCCATTGCTTCTCCATGTTATAGTGCACTTTTAAGACCCTTTTCAAAACACACCTTTTTTGATAAAATCCTCTACATCCTGCACATTGTTATTGATGTCATCAGCATATTGTGGCCTCCATGTTAACTTCAGAAGGCCCCTCAGCTCACTTTACAATCTCCAGAGTGGGGGGGGGGGGGGGGGGGCATGCCAACTCTGCCAGACTGGACTGGAGTTTATAAAGTTGAAAGTTAACCTCCACTACACCGCTGAGAGTGACCCAGGAGAAAAGTAAATCAGTGTGTCATTCGTGACAAGCATTATTTGCATTTTTTTCATTTTCATTCCTTAGCGAAAGAAATATTGGTGAAAAAGATTTCTGAAAAGCAGTTTAATTGAGCAGGGTGGTTGGAGACAGGAGATCACATGATAAATTTTGCAGGAACATGGCCAACAAGAGTTGGCAACTCTAGCTAGAAGCTGTGGATAAATGGCATCTATTTATTGTTGAAATAGGATTCAGATTAATGTTCCAAATGGAATTCCTTTGAGAACATTAGTTTTTAACGGTTGGAACCAAGGAAAGGCTGGAGATAAGACGGAAGGATTCCATATCCCACTTATTACTGTCCTGTTAAATATTATCCAGGGCTTTTCAAATTGCTGCAAACTGTTGTATTGAATGCATTAATGTATTAAAGGGGCACCTACTTAAGACTAAGATGGGGAGGAATTTCTTCTCCCGGAGGGTTGTAAGTCTTGGAACTCCTTGCCACAGAATGCTGTAGTGGCAGAGCCCTTGTGTATATTTAAGATTGAGATAGATAGATTATTGATCAGTAGGGGAATGAAGGGTGAGGGGGAAAGGGCAGGAAAGTGGACATGACAAATATCAGATCAGACATTATCATTTTGAAAGGTAGAGCAGGCTCAACAGTCCGAATAGCCTATTTCTTACAGTCTATTAATGTCTCGAAATTAATTTAACGACTCTATAATGGTCTCTCAGAAATGGTCATTTTTAATTTGCCATCTTCCTTCTTCAATTATAAAAGATTTGATGTTTCTGTGGAGAAACATTTTCTCCTTTAATGAACAGGTACACTATTCTTGAGTATTTCTGTGGGATATTTCAGAGCAATTTCGGTGATATTTTGGGAGCTGTTTGCAAACTGTTGGAAGCAGCCTTGGTGAGCTCTTTTAACATTAGCCTCACAAGAACTCATTTTATTTCTGTACTCATGAGCCACCTCGATCTTTCATTGGGAGTCAGTTCTTCTCTGCAATAGCCTGTGAACTGGGCACTGCAGAGGTGGGCTAGAAGGGACAGGACTGAGAAGTAGGGGGAGGGGAGGATGCCGAAGGGTAAGATTGTTTATCTTCCTCGGCTGTTGCATTACAGCTGATGAAAGAGATTTCCCAATCCACAATCCTGAGATGCTGGAAGGGAGACAGATAGGGTTACAGGCTACTCTGACGACAAGTAACTTAGGGCAATGGCCTGAACTGTTGTTGCGGATTTTGCATGAATGGTCTGTATCACTGTGTCACTGTATGACTGGAATTCAGCCCCTAAGTGTAGAAGATTGCGCAGACTCCCACTCCAGCTAAAAGAGTATTTAGAAACAAAAGAGTCAGAAGAAGGGTCGCTGGACCCAAAACATTAACTCTGTTTCCGTCTCCACGGATGCTGCCAGACCTGCTGAGTTTTTCCAGCAAGTTCTGATTCTGTTTCTCATTCCCAAAATCTGCAGTTCTTTTGGGTTTCTTTTGTGATTTGTTTAGAAAAGTATTTGTTTTTGCAACCATCAGAAATGTCAAAGCTGATGGAGCACTTTTGCGTCATTGTAACAATATGGTAGCTGGCAGTTAGTCCATGCACAGAAAGATCCCACGTACACAATGTGACAATGATCAGGTCATCTCTGCTTTTTTCTGGGATTTTTTTAATTGAAAAAACACACTTTATTCAGAAAAAACTCTTTACGTACATACACAGTTACTAAAACTGTTCTGTACAGTTCTTTGTACATGCCTAACAAACAAGACACGGTGGCTCAGTGGTTAGCATGGCTGCCTGACAACGTCAGGGAGCTAGGTTCGATTCCATCCTTGATCGATTGTCAGTGTGGAGTTTTCACATTCTCCCTGTGTCTGTGTGGGTTTCCATCAGGTGCTCCAGTTTCCTCCCACAGTCCGAAGATGTGCAGGTTAGGGTGGATTGGCCATGCTAAATTGCCCATAGTGTCCAGGGATGTGTAGGTTAAGTGAATTAACCCCATGGTAAACATGGGGTTCCAGGCATTGGGTGGGCTGCTGTTCAGAAAGTTGGTACGGACTTGATGTGTTGAATGTCCTCTTTACACACAGCAGGGATTCTGTGAAACATGGGAATTTGGTGCTGCCCAAAAATAAAAAGCCCAAGGCATTTCTTACTTACGCAGGATAATGTTTACCCTCAGAGAGGGTCTGATAACTGAAAAGACTGGTTTTCTGGGATGTTGACTGAGGGATACAAACTTCCGCCGCTGTAGAAATAATGTCTTGGTGTCTTCTACATCCACCTGAAACAGAGCCTCGGTGAAACATCTCTCAGTGGAAATGGTAACTTCAGTTTTTATGTTCAAGGACTGGACCAGAAGATTTACAACTGTGATGTGAACGTGTTGGTCAGTCAGCCATTGCTGCTGTAGCAGTGAAATGGTTACATCACTTGGTTTGTAATCCAGGGGACTCACCAAGGCAGATATCCCCCTCCTGTTAAATGGTTGAACAGCTAAAAATGGCTGCCTCAAAGCAATAGTATGCTGGGGGCGACCTTAGCAATGCAATCATCACATTTCCACCACCATCCGGGGCAACAAGATTTAGAGGTAATTTTGGGGTTCTTGATTGGCGAAGGATTAGAGACCTTATTGAAGGAGGAGGGTGAGAGAATCAATGGAGTAGTTGCAGGATGACATCATCGGAAGGGACGCATCTGATCCTCATGGAAGGTGATCCTTCTCCTTTCCTGCCTATGGACATTGAAACAGAGAAAATAGGAACAGGAGTAGGCCATTCAGCCCTTCGAGTCTGCTCCATCATTCAATAGAATGATGGCTGATCATCCAACTCGGTCCTCTGTTCCCGCTTTCTCCCCATACACTTTGCTTTCTTTAGCCATAAGAATTATACCTAACTCCTGTTTAATACATT